CTATCCCACAGTTTAAAAAAGCTCCCTCCGATTGCTCTCAGGGTCTTCGGGCCGGTCCTTACCCTTAAGCAATGCCGCCCGCTCCTCTCTGTTCCGCCCCGCTTGTTGCTGGAGGGTACGGGCTTCTGGGGTACTTTTCTGCTGGGAGTTGCTTTTAGGCACGTAATCTGTGGGCCGTGTTTAATTTTTCCTCCCAGTTAGATTGCCGAAAACTTCCCCCAGTCCCGCCAGTGAGAGGGTTTCCTGGTGATTGGAAACTTCCTCTGTTAAGACTCCCTTCCCGGGACGGGTCTCCGTCCGTAGCTCTTTTGACTCCCTTTTTATCGTTTATATTTTGTCCTACCTCCTTTCGAAGACAATGGGCTGCTTTTCTGGGCGCCTGATGTCCTCTGCTAGCGATCAGAAGTTGTTTTGTGAAATTTGCTCAGCGTTCAAATGTTCTTTCGATGAATTTGTAGGAGAGAAAGTGGTCTCCCCGTCCTATTCCTCCACCATCTTGATGATTTTTCCCCATTTACTATTGAATAAACTAGAATTTTCTTCTGCTTTAAGAGTGATATGTTAAAAAAAAAAAAGTGATATGTTTTCTTTTATCCTATGGATGATTATTCCTAGCTTATCAACACCCAAGGCTGATCAGTATCTCTTTCTTCCTTCCCACTTAGTTCATTCTAAATTCCATCCTGCTGCTTTCTTCTATTCCATTGACCACCATATTGGGAATACATTAAGTAAATCTTTAAGATTGCCTTAATTTGTGGTTTATTTTTTCTTTTTTTGTGGGGGGGCATCATTCCATGCAGCTTGCAGGGTCTTAGTTCCCTGAGCAGGGATTGAACCCAGGTCATGGCAGTGAAGCACTGAGTCCTAACCACTGGACCGCCATTCAATCCCCAACCTTAATGTTTTTGCTTGTTTTTATGGGCTTTGTTTTTGTATACATGATTAAAATTAGCTACAGTATTACATATCTTCATTTCCACATATCATGTAATGTCATGCATTTATTCTTGTTTTCAGAAAGGATATGCATGTAGTAAAAACTTTTGAGACTGTGTATGGCTGGAAATATTTTTTATTTCTTTTTCACATTTAATAGCTTAGCTGAATATAAAAATCTAGATTCAAAGATTTTTTCCTGCAGCACTTTGAAAATATTAATTTGTTGCCTTCTTAAATCCAGTGATGATACTTGGAGAATGAAGATGATATTAATCTGCTTCTTGTTTTGTTTTGGGATTTTTTTTTTTTCTTTGAGATATTTTCTTCCTTATTGGAAGTTTTTACTTTTGGGGGCGGGCAGGGCTTTGATGATCCTAATTTCATGCCAAAAATATGTGAGCAGGTGTGTTTTTTTCTGTATCATAATTGGAACCCTTTCATTTTGTGGTCTTGAGTTTTTTTTTAAATTCTGGGAAATTCTCAGCCATTATTTCTTCAAAGATTTCCTTCATTTCTAATCCTTCAGGTACTCCTTTTATGTAGCTATTAAGACTTCCAGGTTCTTCATTGCCTTGGTTTTCTCTTTTGTTTGCATTTTTCATTACCATTTTATTTTGTTGTCAGTTCCATCTTTATCCTTTGCTCATATATTCTTTGATCTTTATCTGACCTGACCTTTCAGATCACTATTTTGTTTTTCAGTCACATGTATTCTACTATTTAACATATCTATTAAAGCACAGAGTGGAGGTTAAGAATAATTCTTTATGTGTTTCTTCGGTTCCCTCACCTATAGAATGGGGGTATAATAGAGTTGCTTTGGGGCATTAAGTGATTTAGTCCATGTAACAGGTTTAGAACAATGCCACGTATATACAGTAAGTGATGGCTGCTATTATTTTTTCGCAAACATTTGTGCTTTTTGCACATCGTATTTCTAATTGGTTGTTCTTCATAACCACTTCTCCGTGTTTCATGTTACCAATAAAAATCTGTTATCTTTTTTTAGGATACCTGCTTTGTTTAGTTACCATTCTTATTATTTCCTATCGTCTCTTATAGGTGCTTCGGTTTGTTGCCTTTAGTTTTTGTGGCTGCATTTTCCAGATGTCTAGTTACTTTGTTCTGTGATTGCATATTTCTTTTGGTAGCGGGGTGGCAATTGGCTTCCTTGTGTGTGAGTGTGTAGACGTTGAGGGCCTAGAGGATGGACAAGGAGAGCTGGTTTTTAAAACCTGAGAACAATGTCGTATGTTTAGCTACCCAGTTATATGTATATAAAGCCCATTCATCTTTGTTTCATGTTAGAAGATTAATGAATCAAGACCTTAATTATAAGAAAATATTGCTTTGTAGAGCATCCCACATCATTAAACTTGAGATCAACATTATAGTAAGATTCTTCTGTAGTATCAAAGTATTCATACTGTGTCAGGTTACCTCCCTGTTAGTAAATTCAGATTCCCTTGATATCTTGCCCCTTGCATGAAGAGATTCATCTGACTAAATTGTTAGTTCTCTTAAAGCCATTTCTGTTTCACTGAAACCTTCTCTGAGGATTTTGGTGTATGTTGCATGAATATCTTAGAATGCTGTGCTGTGCTTGTTGCTCAGTCGTGTCTGACTCTTTGTGACCCCATGGACCGCTGCCCACCAGGTTCCTCTGTCCATGAGGATTCTCCAGGCAAGAATACTGGAGTGGGTTGCCATGCCCTCCTCCACGGGACCTTCTCTACCCAGGGATCAAACCCAGGTCTCCTGCCTTGCAGGCGGATTTTTTACCAGCTGAGCTACCAGGGAAACTCATATCTTAGAGTATCTTATATATAATTAGGAATTGTGGTAGAATGTATACAAGTGTATGACATAAAACAAGTTGTGTTTATTATAAAATAGATCTTATCAGACAAATGAGAATTTCCAGGAAAAAAAAAAGCCTTTACAGTTTCATCTTTGTGCTTACTTTTGTTCTTATTTTTGTGTTTCTGTATTCATGTTCTTATTTTTGTATTTCTGTATTCATCAAAGAGGCACAGTAATCAAAAGGGCTTACTTCCAGAGCCAAATCCAGTGCAAATCATGAAAAGTTTAAACAACCCTGCCATGTTGCAAATTCTTCTACAACCCCAGCTCTGTGGGCGGACTGTTAAACCAGGTAAGCATCACGTGTACTAATGACATGTAGAATATTGGCTTGAGGTTAATTGTACTGTTTTACATGAAAAACACCTTTAAATTAGTCCACAGTATTTTTTCTAGAATTTATCAATGAATTTTAATTAATCTGAGGTGAAATTATGTTTTGACTCTTTTTGGTAGGCACAAATTGCTTATGGATTTCCTGATTTTTTAAAAACTAAGTATTAAATATTAAACCTTCAAGTGTAGTTACTGGTTGCCATGAATTTCTAAACCAGGTTTCACATGATTTAATAAGGTAATATTTAACACACTACATTGTTACAGCTCATTTTAACAAAGGATATGATACTTTTCTATGTAATATTTTTTGGCAGAATTACTTTGTTGGAAAGTGCTAAAGATCAGTTTCCTCTGTGCTGTTATCTTCTTTTTTTCATTGTGAAATTGTTTTACTTTGTTGAAAATGATGAAAACAATATCATTTTCTTAGTATTGTGGAAATTGTTGTAATACTGGCATGCATTAAATATCTGTCTATTTAGTATTCATTGGAGGAGTTTATTTGCCTTTTGAAATGCATAGCTGTACATACACAAAATGTATATTTTATCATTAGGAAATGAATGTTTGTATTCAACATTAAGCTTTAGATTACAAATGTTTAGATTAAATGTATTTATTCTGTTTCAGCTCCAACTGGTCTAACGCCAACTAGCATACTACAATTCTATTGTAGCACTAACTACCTAGAGTTAGCACGGATGCTATGAGTGAGGGCTTAAGTCCCCAACAGGTCTGCCCTTACTTCAGACACTAGCCACACTACAGAGGTCTCCAGGCCTGTTCTGGCTAACTCGCTTCAAATTTGGGGGTTCCTGTGACACCGCAGGTTCAATAATGTGTTCAGTTCAGTTCAGTTGCTCAGTTGTGTCCAACTCTTTGCAACCCCATGAATTGCAGCACGCCAGGCTTCCCTGTCCACCAACTCCCAGAGCTTGCCCAAATTTATGTCCATCGAGTTGGTGATGCTATCCAGCTGTCTTATCCTCTGTCGTCTTCTCCTCCTGCCTTCAATCTTTCCCAGCATCAGGATCTTCTCCAATGAGTCTATAGAGTCCCATAACTTAGGAGAGCACTGTACTTACAATTACAATTTTGTTATGAAAAGATGTAACTCAGAAATAGCATAATTAAGAGACTTAGGGCCGTGGCTCATAGGTCCTAACTGCAGAGCTTTTATGTTCTTTCCCTGTAGGATCAGAGCACATTTGCCTCCCAGCACACCAGTGTATTAATTAACCAGAGATCTCTACTGAACTAGCTTCAGTGTCTAGAGCTTTTATGGGGGTTTTATATGTAGGCATGACTGGCCATGTTATTGAACTCTTATCTGCGGTTCTCTTCCTCTTCCTGGAGGTCAGGAGGCTAGGCTAATACTTATCTTGGAGAGACAGCAGTCCTGAAGAGAGATCTTAGTTCCCTACTCAGGAATTGAACCTAGGAAACCTAAATGAAAACCAGGAATCCTAGCCACCAGGCCACCAGGATCTAGGGGCTCGCGGCAAAATGACCCAGTCTCTTTCCCGCATTTGAAAGCAAGAATGTTTCAAGGAGGCAAAAACTATTAAAAACAGGTATAAAGTTTATTATTAGAGTTACAGCACAATGTATGGGAGAGCACATGGAGAAATAGTGTATTTAAGACATAAACAAGACAGAAATACACACCCAGTGAAGAGTGCAGTGAAGACGTGATTTAAGTCACGTAGAACATTGTTTCCCGGTCTTTGTTTACATTTGGCCAATTATTATTTTTTCTTAATTAATTAATTTATTTTAATTGGAGGCTAATTACTTTACAATATTGTAGTGGTTTTTGCCATACATTAACATGAATCAGCCATGGGTGTACATGTGTTCCCCATGCTGAACCCCCCTCCCACCTCCCTCCCCGTCCGACCCCTCAGGGTCATCCCAGTGCACCAGCCCTGAGCACCCTGTCTCATGCATTGAACCTAGACTGTTTCACATATGATAATATACATGTTTCAGTGCTGTTCTCTCAAGTCATCCCACCCTTGCCTTCTCCCAAAAAGAATCCAAAAGACTGTTCTTTACATCTGTGTCTTTTGCTGTCTTGCAAATAGGGTCATCGTTACCATCTTTCTAAATTCCATACATATGCGTTAGTATACTGTATTGGTGTTTTTCTTTCTGACTTACTTCACTCTGTATAATGGACTACAATTTCATCCACCTCATTAGAACTGATTCAAGTGCATTCTTTTTAATGGCTGAGTAATATTCCATTGTGTATATATATACCACAGCTTTCTTATTCATTCGTCTGCCGATGGACATCTAGGTTGCTTCCATGCAATGGCTATTATAAACAGTGCTGTGATGAACATTGGGGTGCACGTGTCTCTTTAAGTTGTGGTTTCCTCGGTGTGTATGCCCAGCAGTGGGATTGCTGGGTCATATGGCAGTCCTAGTTCCAGTTTTTTAAGCAATCTCCACACTGTTCTCCATAGTGGCTGTACTAGCTTGCATTCCCACCAACTTTGTAAGAGGGTTCCCTTTTCTCCACACCCTCTCCAGCATTTATTGTTTGTAGACTTTTTGATAGCAGCCATTCTGACTGGCATGAGATGGTACCTCACTGTGGTTTTGATTTGCATTTCTCTGATAATGAGTGATGTTGAGCATCTTTTCATGTGTTTGTTAGCCATCTGTGTCTTCTTTAGAGAAATGCCTGTTTAGTTCTTTGGCCCATTTTATGATTGGGTCATTTATTTTTCTGGAATTAAGCTGCAGGAGCTGTTTTTATAGTTTTGAGATTAATTCTTTGTCAGTTGCTTCTTTTGCTATTATTTTCTCCCATTCTGAAGGCTGTCTTTTCACCTTGTTTATAGTTTCCTTTGTTGTGCAAAAGCTTTTAAGTTTAATTAGGTCCCATTTGTTTATTTTTGCTTTTATTTTCATTACTCTGGGAAGTGGGTCATAGAGGATCATTCTGTGATTTATGTCAGTGTTTTGCCTATGTTTTCCTCTAGGAGTTTAATAGTTTCTGGTCTTACGTTTAGATTTTTAATCCATTTTGAGTTTATTTTTGTGTCTGGTGATAGAAAGTATTCTAGTTTCATTCTTTTACAAGTGGTTGATGAGTTTTCCCAGCACCATTTGTTAAAGGGATTGTCTTTTCTCCATTGTATATTCTTGCCTCCTTTGTCAAAGCTAAGGTGTTCATTGGTGCGTGGATTTATTTCTGGGCTTTCTATTTTGTTCCATTGATCTATATTTCTGTCTTTGTGCCAGTACCATACTGTCTTGATGACTATAGCTTTGTAGTATAGTCTGAAGTCAGGCAGATTGATTCCTTCAGTTCCATTCTTTTTAACATTGCTTTGGCTATTCGAGGTTTCAGTTCAGTTCAGTTCAGTTCAGTCGCTCAGTCGTGTCCGACTCTTTGCGACCCCATGAATCACAGCACGCCAGGCCTCCCTGTCCATAGCAAACTCCCAGAGTTTACTCAAACTCATGCCCATCGAGTCAGTGATGCCATCCAGCCATTTTATCCTCTGTCGTCCCCTTCTCCTCCTGCCCCCAATCCCTCCCAGCATCAGGGTCTTTTCCAGTGAGTCAACTCTTCGCATGAGGTGGCCAAAGTATTGGAGTTTCAGCTTCAGCATCAGTCTTTCCTGGCCAATTATCTTGTTTCTTTCTTCACACCTGACTGATCCTTGGACCCTCCCCCCAGATGTGTGAGCAACATTTTGATAAGATGGATCCTACCACAGAGGCCTATGGGTACATGTCCACAGTTATTATGGGGTGAGGCCCCCTCCCTTTCTGACCCCCTGAGAAGCCTTCCTGCACACATGCAGACAGGGAAGTCTTCCTTGACCTCAGGCACCTTCTCTCTCTGCTTTAGCAGAACTCAGCCTGTGCCACTCTCTTTGTCCTTGGAGTGTCTGGGTAAGAAGAAAGCTTGAATTTTACTCTACTTGACAAACACCAGCTGTTTACCTAGGGGCCCATCTATCCCCTTCCTCAATATCACATGGCTCAAAGCCTCCATTCTCTAGTCACATGTTAGGTCTTTCAGGTATGACCAGTCCCCATTCTGAAGGCATGTAGAGGCCTGCCCTGAGTCACCTCATTCATTAACATAACAAAAACACTCCTATCCCCTGGGAAGTTCCAAGGGTTTGAGTTTCCCCTCCAGTAACCAAAGACAAAGAGCAGTTAAATTCTTTATGATACCAACAATGTTTGTATTAAGTACTTCATATAATCATCAATTATTTATATGTAACAAGTATCTTCAGAGGTGTCCAGCTCAACCTATTATGCAGTCAAATATTCCTCCTACAATTTTTTTTTCAGAGTTAGATGACTTTCAGTTAAGTCGCACAATTGTGTCTGACTCTTTGCGACCCCACGGACTGCAGCACGCCAGGCCTCCCTATCCATCACCAACTCCCAGAGTTTACTCAAGCTTATGTCCATTGAGTTGGTGATGCCATACAACCATCTTATCCTCTGTCGTCCCCTTCTCCTGCCTTCAATCTTTCCCAGCATCAGGGTCTTTTCAAATGAGTCAAGTTCTTCACATCAGGTGGCCAAAGTACTGGAGTTTCAGGTTCAGCATCAGTCCTTCCAATGAATACTCAAGGACTGATTTCCTTTAGGATGGACTGGTTAGATCTCCTTGCAGTCCACGGGATTCTCAAGAGTCTTCTCCAGCATCACAGTTCAAAAGCATCAATTCTTCAGCATTCAGCTTTCTTTACAGTCCAACTCTCACATCCATACATGACTACTGGAAAAACCATAGGTTTAACTAGATGGACCTTTGTTTGCAAAGTAATGTATCTGCTTTTTAATATGGTGTCTTGGTTGTTCATAAATTTTCTTCCAAGGAGCAAGTGTCTTTTAATTTCATGGCTGCAGTCACCATCAGCAGTGATTTTGGAGCCCCCAAAATAAAGTCTGTCACTGTTATCATTG